TGCAGGACCAATTGTTGCTGTTGTTGTGACGTGCCCTCGAGTCAACCCTACTCATAGCGACCCCTCCTCGGGTTTCCAAGGCGATATCACTACAGAAGTAGGTTTCCCAACCTTCCTTCCGAGGAGTGGCTGGTGGTTTGAAACGCCAGCCTTCTGGTTAGCAGTCAAGTGCCTTGGGCACTGTGCTACCAGAGCTCCTGCATGACCAGTAGGAGTGCATAAATATGAAGGGCACAAGGGGAGGGGCCCAGGGTAGGGAGGGGAGGAGACTGGGTTAGGGTTGGACGAGACAAATGGGGAATGAAACTAAATGTACACGTTATGTTGAATGTAAAACTTTTAAAATAAAAAAAAGATTTAAGGAAATTTTTTTTCACCAATTTCTTTACTTGATCTAGTTAATCTCTTTGAATATCTTTTTTGCCTTGTATTCTTATTTCAAAAGTAAATTTTGGTTATAGGTATTCTCTTGGTATTTAATACTGTGATGTTTTATTTAAATATCTAATGCTTTTTTATTCGGAAGGAAGATGGGGCAACGTACTTCCATAGTGATACTGCCTTGGAAACCCAGGGAGGGGTTGCTATGAGTCGGGTCTGACTCAACGGCACATAACAACAACACAACAACAACAATGCTTTTTATAGTAAGAACCATACAACAGGATTTTCTTCTAAAACATCAGTCACTGAAAGTAGGTCATATATTGCCACAGTATTTTATACTTTGTATTATGTAAGATGATGTAGCCCAATAAAGCTATCAAAAATAGCCAAGTTAAACTTATAGATAGTAGTTTCAATTCACCTTAGCAGGTCAGCAGTTTAGTATTGGTTGAAGTCAAGAATTTAACTTTTACCCTCAACCGTGATGATCACCATCCATCATGTTTACCACTTGTTTTCCAGTAGCCTGAACAAGTCTCATTGTCTTTCTGTTAAACCTGTCTGGCAAAATTCCGGCCTGGATGAATTCAGTGGACTATTTGTACTAAGGCTGCTGAGCAGTGCAAATTTATTGACATCAGTTAATGTTCTCTGGTCTCCCTTGGATTCTTGGTGCTGCCTGTAGCCACACTCTGTTTCCTAGTCACCTCACATCTCTCAGACGCCATTCTTTCTACTTCACGTAAGTTATAAACTCCTTCAGCTGCTACTACCTCCTTTTCTTTAGTTTCAGTGAAAGAGATCTTCTCCTTGGCTTCTCTGAAGCTAATCATTTTCTTATGTCCTGTATCCCATGTACTCCACTCTCAGAGACCATATGCTACAGGCTGATTATCCCCTTTCTCTTCTGCACCTTCAGTATTTCTACCAGCTCCTTCCCAAGAAATTTTAAACATGCTTGAGATATTTCCATCTTAACTCACATTTCTTAATGACGCATCTCTGATTGCTTCCCTTCACAGATTTGTTCCTTGAAAAAATTATCTCTCGGATGACTTCCTTCATTTTTTCCCTTTCACTCACTTCCATTCCACACAGTTATGGAATTGACCTCCATCACCCTGCTGAAATTGATCTTACCAAGATTATCAGTAACTTCTGTTTTGTTAAATCCAGTGGACACTTCTTAGTCCTTTTATTATATGACAGGGTAACATTTGGCATTCTTGATAAACTTTTCCCTTTTTCCTAGCACACTCGTGGTCTTTCTTCTGTTTTTCTGTACACTCTCAGTGTCTTTTTTCCTCTACTTCTCTTAAGTATTAGAGTCTGTCATTTAATCAGCTCCTGTTGCTCATCATCTTCTCCCTAGGGCCTGTGATCCATTTCAAGTACTGTTATGAATGAATGACTGCAAAGCTCTTCCCAGCCCCAGTTTCTTTTCTGAGAGCTAGATTAGTATTTATCCACTAGACAAATTCAGTTGAATGTCCCATGTTGTTATGTGCCGCCAAGTCAGACCCGACTCATAGCGACCCCTCCTTGAATTTCCGAGGCATTATCACTACGGAAGTAGATTGCCCCATCTTCCAGCCACTCCTCGGAAGGAAGATGGGGCATAAGCACCTCAAACACAGCATTCTAAAACTGAACATGTTATCTCCTCTCAATGTCAAAAATCTGTTTCTTTTCTAATCACTTTGAGTGTATGATCTCACCATTTGCTCAAGCTGGTAGCGTAGTGCCTAAGGCACTTGGCTACTAACCAGAAGGCTGCCGGTTCAAACCCACCAGCCATTCCTTGGAAGGCAGATTGGACAATGATAATCACCTCGGAAACCTGAGGAGGGGTCGTTATGAGTCGGAAACAACTGGAAGGCAGTAAGTGTGTTCTTTTTTTGTTTATGTTGGCATTACAGCATAAGGCAGTTTTTTTCAGTTGGGAAAGCAGTTCTAATTCCCTAAGGCTTTCATTACATATTGTGAATTAACCTCTGTTCTGTGTGTCTGTATTGGTAGTGGGTATGTATCATTCTTGGAAGAACTGAGAAAATAGTCACTCAAATAATTTTTTGTATTTTGTTATTAAGATGTTGAATCTTAATTTTGTTATTAAGATGGTGAAAGGCTGTTAATGCTAAAAATCTTTTTCAAAGTTGCTAGCAAATCACTCCATCAATTGAATAATCCTACCTCATAAAATCGTTGTGAGGACATAAAATATTTAGCGTGGTACTTGGATATAGTAAGCAAAAGAATGTTAGCTGTGATTATTTTTTCTCATTAATTTTTTCTAATTGAATATATTTTGAGGATTTTTTCTTACTGTAAAAATATATATAACATGACATTTGCCAATTCCACATTTTTAAGGTATATGGCTCATTGATATCAATCACAGGAGAGAAGTTTCTTTTTGGGGGCTGGTACTAAGAGCTATTCAAAATCGGATATTCTGAACTATTTTCCATTCTCTACCTCCTACTTGTGTGGTGATACTACCTTGGAAACCCAAGGAAGGGGTTGCTATGAGTCAGGGCCAACTCGACGGCACATAACAACAACAACCTTCTACTGCTACTCATGCTTTTATTTTTCAGATATTTAATTTTGGTTTTTTACTTGTTTATTCTTCCAGATGAATTTTAGAATCCTTTTGTCAGGTTCCAAAAATCCCAGTGGGATTTTTATTGGAATTGTATTAGGCCTATACATTTAGAAAAATTTACGTTGATATTACTTAGTCATCCAGTTAGGGAAGATGGTTTGATTTTCTACTTATTCAAATTCTCTCACATAATTTTATAGAACTTAATATTTAATAGTGATTATTCACATAGAGCAAAATTTTTGTTATATTCTTAGGTATTTTTATTACTCATGTAAGTGGCATCACTATTTTTCCTGTTATATTTTCTAAATGGTTATTGGTGATACTTTGAAATGCTCTGGATTTTTAATGTGTATGCTTTAAGAATATGAATTTTATATTTTTCAGTCTTGTAGAACTTTCAAAACAATAAATAAATAAATGATATGCTTTCTTATTCATGTTTTATTTTGAGGATAATGTTGGCTATTGCTTTAAATGTACTTTTTTCAACTCGCTAGAGAATATATATTAAAGTAATGCATGCTCATTGAAAACAACAGTGTAAGAATATAAATGTTAACTAAGGACATACGACTATTTCTATTTTGGAGATTTTTCAAATTGAAAATAAGTGCTGAATTTTATGTTATTTTTTATTTTGAGTTGATAAAATTTAACCTGCTATATAATCTTTTTAATGTAATATATTATTCTAATTGATATCCTAGCATTAAAACATCTATGGAATGAATCCTACTTTTGTTATGGTTGATAATCCTTTTAATATTATACTGTAGTGGATGTGATGAATTAGGATGTTAGAATCAAAGCAATTTGAATTTGTATCCTTTTTTTTTTTTTTTTAAACCATTTTTAGCTGAATGACCTTGGCAAAATTATCGTAACTTCTTAGTGTTATTGATTGTAAAATGAGAAATCTGCTATAACCCAGATGTCTGATGATTTTCCCTGCTCTTAAACTTTAGATAAAATAATCTTAGCCTCTCCTCCTACCAACCCACTTACCCTGCTGCCCTGCATAATTCCACAACCAGTGGAAATTCAAAGTCCTCCTTAAAAGTGGAGAAATCCTATTTCCTTACAACTGTCTCTGCCTCTGAATCTCTGCTTTCACCATTGATTTTTCAGTTCCACTCCTCTTTTATTTAGGTCTGAAATTCAGCCCCTTTCTTGATTTTGACACACACCAGCTAAAACCCTTTTTTTTTTTTTCTTGTGGCAAGAACTTGTAAGCTTGGTAGACTACATTGAAGATGTAGGGAAAGCTGTGAAGTAGCAGCAGTACAAATAACTTAAAATAGGACAGGAAGCATCACTATTCTTAAGATGTCTTTTGACTGCTTCACTCTTGGATTTTACCGGACCTTTACCCCACCTTCTCTTCATCTAGTTTACCATTCTGGTATATCTTCTTTCCTGTTAAAACAAAAACTTTCTCTTTATTTCATGCAGAGCAGTTTTACCCTCTTTAAATTTTGGTATAAAACTAATGAAGTAGTCATTAGGTTATCACTTCTATCCCCAAGAGAAGTTGTCTAGTTGTTAATAACTTTTTTCCCCTACCTCATTTATTTTACTTGTGCTGAATAGATTAAATAAGATAACATTAAAACATACAGACAAGTGCATATAGTGAAGTTTTCCTTCCCCTCCCCATCACTCTAGCTACTTAGTTTTGCTGTGTTTAATTGAGGTTCTGTGGTCATGAAATGTTTTTAAATGTTATACCATTAGCTTTGAGCAAGTCAGTGATCAAGTTTGTTTTAGGCTTTAGCGTTACAGTCTCACATTAACCATAATATGCTTATAGCAGGTAAATCAATTGGTCTGTGTTAGGTTTATAGTCATTCTTTTTACCTCATAAAATAAGCTTTTGAGAGATTCTTTCATGATGTTAAACTTCATGGAATGATTTATAAATTGAGCTTTGTTTTAATATGTTATGAGGCTTAGTTTTTACTTGTTTTGCAGAAAACTAATTGTTTAAAAAAAGCCAGTTATGGCTACAGGAGGAGGTCCTTTTGAGGAAAGCATGAATGATCCAGATTTGCCGAACTGGAGCAATGAAATCATTGATGACCGACTCAATAATATGGTATGATATCTTATTATTGACAGTGTGTTGTGGTTAGTAATTTTAAGTCCCCTGACATAGCCAAATCTAACTTATTGAGACTTTGGGTAAACGTATTTTTCCTTGCTGGCAAATATATTAAGAGAACTTAGGCTATCGGTTATGTTAGTTGAAGACATGTTGATTACAGGTAACAGAAACCAGCTTTAATTAGCTTAAGTCAAAAAGGGACTTTTATTATTATAATAATATAAAGGTATTTTATGGACACCAGCATCAAGGAATGCAGCTGGATTTAAGGAAGGAACTCGATAAAAAAAAAGGTGTTAAGAGTTGCTTTTGTACTGCCTTGACTCTGCTTCTGAGTATCACTGCATTATACAACTTTCTCTTCATAAACCAGCTTTCCTTCTTTAGTCCATGTGGTGTATGTTGCCTGCCTTGCCATTATAAAGTTTTTAGTTATGATTGTAATTATATACTAATTATCTCTTAGTTCCAATTTGAATTTTAAATTATGATTAAAATTTTAAAATATGATTATACTAATTTGAATTAGAGATGACTTTCTTTTCTATCTGTCTATAGCCAGGATGGGGTGGGTTAAGTAGTACAAGAGGAACATACATAAGTGAATTGGAGTGGATAGACAGTTTGCAGAAGAAGTTTGTTATAAATGAAGAAACTGTCCCCAAAAATTTTTACTATAGTGATTCATAAGTTCTTCAAGTATGAGTACAGTGAGAATTTGTAGACCTTTTAGTTGAGTGAGTTTGGTATTGTGGATATAAATAAGGAAATAAAAATATTTTCTAGTTAAAACATTAATCATTTCATTTCATATCACATATTATCCTGTAGTACATTATTATTTACAAAAAATAAAAACATTATTTAATCCCACCTAGTTGCTAGGTACTGTTTAGATCTTTTTATGTATATTAGTTATTTTTAGTCCTATTTCAAAGATGACATTGTTTTAGAAATTAGGAAGCTGAGTCTATAGGAAGTAAAGTAAATTTCCCAGCTTCTTAAAGTGGAGTCTTTCTTCAAATACTTTAGTATCCTGTTTGACTCCAAATCTGTCCCCTCTTGTTATCTTACATACTGCCTTAAAAGGAGGCCAGAGAAGGAATCTGTCATTTATTTTACTATTCACTTTATTGATAGTAAAAAAAAACCCTTTTTTTAATACATTTGAAAATATTTAGACTGACTCTAGCCTTGGGGATTTATATTTATGATTTACGTTAGAAAATTTATGTTCTGAAGAACCGACTGTAATTTAATTTAGGATGGATCTAATGAGGGAGAAAATGGGTTAATGAGAAGTAAATAATTGTTTCTAAAACTATGTGTTTATGAGATTGGTCAATTTTTAAGCAGACTAAGTAGTTTTCCTGTTCTGGTAAGAATCAGATAAACTTTTGCTTTTACTTTTTTAAAGGACTGGAGTAGCCAACAGAAAAAGGCAAATAGATCATCAGAAAAGAATAAGAAAAAGTTTGTAGAAAGTGATAAAAGGGTAACTAATGATATTTCTCCGGAGTCATCACCAGGAGTTGGAAGGCGAAGAACAAAGGCTCCACATACATTTCCACACAGTAGATACATGACTCAGATGTCTGTTCCGGAGCAGGCAGAATTAGAGAAACTTAAACAGCGGATAAACTTCAGTGATTTAGATCAGGTTTGTGAATTATTTTAAAAACTAGGATTTTGGGAAACATTTGAAATGGATTAAATAATTTATCTTAAGAATAAAAACTTGAATTGTTTATTTACTTTTTTTCTTTTTTCCTTAGTTTTTGTACATATGAAAGAAATTTTAACTATTGATCTATGGTGACAGTACTATATGCTTTGGAGGGAAATGAAGTCTTATTTCTAAACAGTCCAAAGAAATGTTTTTCTGTGCCCTTATTAAGTTGTGCTCTTTGACTAACTTAAATAATATTATGAAACTAAATTTTGCACTTTAGTAACTGAATAATATCTTGTTTAGCACATTGAAAAGTCCAGTTTAGTGTTTTTATCATTGGCTTAGGATCATCTCTAAGTTTAGAATAAAATTGGTGTACATGTATAAACACTGATAAAAAAAATTTATTACTAAAAACAAGTGGAAATAATAATGCTTGACATATTTTACAGAAATAAACAGGTTTTCAACTCAAATGTAGATTGAAGTCTGGTATGATAATTAATGGTTATGTGTCATTTATTCATCTGGTTACGAATTATTGAGCACTTAATCTGTGCCACACACTGAGCTGAGTACTTCTCCAGAAAATTCTTCATGTAGACACATCTTTATGCTGATGTTCACATTAATTAGCATTGATTCACCCAGTCCAAAGCCTATAAAACTACTGTGAATGAGTAAGATTATCAATATGAGTTATAACTGTGATCTGTAGTTCTGGTCCTTCGTTTAGACCTTGTTCATATTCATTGGTTCATTTGTCTCTGGCAAAATAAGGAGTTAGAAGTGTGTGAGAACAACTAGCCACAAGCTAGTATCAAAGGGCATGGTGGGCAAACCCCTCCTTTATTACTAATTGTGTAGCAAGGGTCAGAATAAATCCCGTTCCCAGCTGGCAATGGATCCAAGCCTCACTGTCCCACATTTCCTCTTCTGCCATTTTTGAGGTAATTCCTCTTTCTGACTCTAATGACCCCAGAGGTAGGTGATGACTTCACCTGGTCATCCTGAGCTGAGTCAAAACAAACCTACCTACCCAGGGTCAGGTCATCAAAGATCACTGTAGGCTTAGGAGTCTGCACAACTCCCTGCACTTAAGACCAGCCAGCCACTACCCTCCAGCCCCTTAGCCCCAGACCCTAGGACTGGGTCATAAGCTAGAAGGACTATATCCATCTTCATCAACTGCCAATGCAGCCTTTCCCTGACGACTATCAGCCACCCAGAACTGGGTCTACACAAATTTACTGTCCTACTAGCCCCTGCTGGCTCATTGCTCATGTGGATTTGTTCATTCTCTATAATGGCTCACAAAATTTACAGAGACTATTACCTATGTTTAAATTTACCTATTTATTATAACCAGAAAGGATACAAGTGAAGAGACCAATCAGGCAAGGTTTGAGAGTAGTCCTAGTGCTAGACTTCCATTGTCCCCAGGAAGGGGCCATACCCTCTTCCCTGCATGGATGTTCTCACCAATCATAAAAGCCCCAAAAAGAGAGCTCCAAGATCCAGAGTCCCCTACTTATTGGGACCTCAATTAAAATGCATGACTAGTATCTTAATGCATACTTAAATTGATCTAGTAAGTGAATAGGAATGACTGACTGCATCATGAGCCTTACCTTTCTTTCTGGTTAGTTCTCCAGAAATGTGTTGATTTGCCATTTATGTGTTGATTAACTTCTAATTTTTTTCAGATTTTTTGTATGTATTCACACAATAAACCTAGAAGTATCCTTGGTTATTATTTGTGAAATACATACTACAGCCCCTACTTGGCCTGGCTATTTTAGAAAGACAGAGAGCACCTAATTCCTCAGGCTGTTTCCCCAAAGTGCTAATTGAAATTTTTTATTTTTGTAAAAGAATTTTGTAGATCTAAAGTCATTTCAAACGTAACTACAAAGCTGTTTGTGACAGCTGAATGAATAATTAATGGTGAAATTTGACTTAGAATATTGAAATTTAAATTTCTTAAAAAGATTAATGTTTGTGGGATTTGGTTTCTTTCTCATATATAGAGAAGCATTGGAAGTGACTCTCAAGGTAGAGCAACAGCTGCTAACAACAAACGTCAGCTTAGTGAAAACAGAAAGCCCTTCAACTTTTTGCCTATGCAGATTAATACTAACAAGAGTAAAGATGCTGCTACAAGTCCTCAAAAGAGAGAGGCGATCAGATCAGCACAATGTAAAGAGTTGTTTGCTTCTGCTTTAAGTAATGACCTTTTGCAAAACTGTCAAGTCTCTGAAGAAGATGGTAGAGGAGAGCCTGCAATGGAAAGCAGCCAGGTGATAAAACTTGGAGTTTGTTTTTGTTTTTTGTCTTTGCTTTCACAGATCTCAAGATATAAAAAGTAAGATTTAAAAACAAAAATTGTATTAGGTTGTGCACATAGAAATTTTAGTTACATAGAGTTAAAATGGGAGCTCTGGTAGCATAGTGCCTAAGGCACTTGACTGCTAACCGGAAGGCTGGCGGTTTGAACCCACCACCATTCCTGAGAAGGAAGATGGGGCAATCTACTTCCATAGTGATACTGCCTTGGAAACCCAAGGAGGGGTCGCTATGAGTCGGGTCTGACTCGATGGCACATAACAACAACAGCAGGGTTAAAATACTTCTCTGACTTTTCTCATTAATCTACCAGATTTATTTAAAATAGAGTAGATTTTTTTTTTATTTTATCAAAAATTATTGTAGAAATGGCATATTCAGGTTAATTAAGGCCTCTGTTTATCTGGCATATACTGTATTGCCAAATTTTCATAAAAGGAGTGTGGGACACAATGTTATTAATACATTGTTAGAACAATTTTTTTTAAATGGTGATAAAACTTTGGAAAGGACTTTCATAAGTATTTATAATACTTTAAATAATTTATTTATAAAGAAATATAAGACAAACATTAGAAAGAAAGTAATTTAAACAGTATGTTTAGTTTAGTGTACAGGTCTATACATAAAAATACTCAGGTAATATAAATGAAAATTAATTTTTAAATCTATTTAAATTGGCAGTAATTTGGAGTGTTTAGTATTGCCATTTATGTGTTGATTAACTTCTAAATTTGGTTCTGATTTTTCGTGTGTATGGATTCACAAAATAAACTTAGAACTGTCTTTGGTTATTGTTACTGAAATACAAAATCTGTAATTATTTTATTGTTATTAATGAGGTAATTATGCTCTTTTATATATTTTGTACTTCTGTGCTTTTTTTTCCTCTACAGATTGTAAGCAGGCTTGTTCAAATTCGTGACTATATTACTAAGGCTAGTTCCATGCGTGAAGATCTCGTAGAAAAAAATGAAAGATCTGTTAATGTTGAGCGCCTTACTCATCTTATAGATCACCTTAAAGAACAAGAAAAGTCATATATGAAATTTCTCCAAAAAATCCTTGTAAGTTCTACATCTTTTTACAATATATTGAGTTATTTTTGTTGTGTACCAGTTGATATTATATACTGATGACATTCTGATGCTAACCCAGCGGAGTTTACTTATTTTTGAAAAATCGTGCCATTCGTTATAACATTTTATTGCCCTTTTTAATAGTTGTATGATTTATACCACTAAAATATTTCAGGCTAGAGAAAATGAGGAGGAGGATGTTCGGACTATAGATTCAGCTGTGGGATCTGGTTCTGTAGCTGAGAGCACATCGCTAAACATAGATGTGCAGTCTGAGGCTTCAGATACCACGGTAAGCGGATTTTTGGTAATTATAGTGCTAGAAATGAAGATTTAAAATTTTTTTTCCAATTTTTTGAGTTGATATCTTAAGGGTGTTTCTTAATGAAGGTTTTTTCTAGGGAAAAAACCTTAAAAATTGTTAATGTTATGTGTATTCTTTCTAAACATGGAAATGTTTATTAACGTTAAAAATAGTTTTAATGATTGATTTGAAAATCCAGTAATTTCTGATCTTTACCTTCAGAACCATTGTTTTTCTAATTTGTTTTATGAAGCAGAGCTTTACTAGTTGTAAGATGTAGGAGAGTTAAAATTTGCTGCAGATATGCAAGCTATAAGTACAGACTATCATTGGAGTTTGCTTTACCATATTGTCTATTGGAAGAAGTCTCCCAAGTTTATTTGCCATTGAAGTCTCATTTTAAAACTATTAGGATTTTTCATTTCTCGGGCTGTGAACAATGACTGACAAAACCCAATGACTGAAAAATTGAGTTGCAAGACTAGAAAAATGGGGTAGCATAACATTTATGCTGAGTTAAGACAGAAAAATGCTAAAACTTCTGATTCTGCAAAATGAACATTATGAAAAATACTGTCTTTGGGAAAAAGAGCAAGGAATTTATGGAACTTGCAAAACTTCCCACTGCCATTGAGTCATTGTCAACTCCTAGCCACCCCATTGGGTTTCTAAGGTAGTAAATCTTTACAGGAGTAGATTGCCTCATCTTCTACAGAGTAGCTGGTGAGTTTGAAATGCCAACTTTCTGGTTAGCAGTCATATGCTTTAGGCACTGTGCTACCAGAGCTCCTTAAAATAAACTTAGTTCAAGGAATTTAGAAATAAGATCATGTTAAGCTAGTGTGCTTATAAGTTTTTATTTTAATAGACGTATCTGTAACTGTATTAGTACACTTGAAAAGCTATCACCAGCAAAGCTTTTCTTTGTTGAAGGATGGCAAAGCATATCTGATTTTTGTTGTTACGGTCCAAAATACATTCAGCATTAGGAACTTGAGACTTTGTTTCTTTTTAAAATATTGACATGCATATTTTGTTTGCCTCCTTTCTCTTCCCTGCCCCTCCTAGTTTGAAAATGAAATTTGACTTTTTTCTCAGTCATTTTTACCTGGAGATACTCAGGGGACTTGATCTAAACAGTTTTTGAAGAATGATTTTAAATTATTTTCCTTTTTACACTGATGCTGGGAGCACTTTGTTTTTCGCATTTCAGTCCAACAGAAATGGAAGGGTTGGGGGATGTGAGTAAAGGAATTCTGTTGGAAATGATGGGAAATGGTATGGTTAGTTATTATAATTGACATTAGCATCTGAAATGTTCACCGTGATGACAATTTATTTCATAGTAACATAAAATTATGACATTTGAAAGTGATTGATAACATATTGCAGAATAAATGTTGAAATAGGCTTTCACAGTTAGTTATATAACTGGAAATAGTTTAGAATTATTACAATAAGCAATGATTTTGCCTACAAAAAATTAAAAGCCTAAGTTTGCTGCTGCTTAAATGGGTGGATTGATTAAAACCAAAACGTAGACTGGTAAATTTGTTGTATTTACTTATAAAGATTGCTTGTATGGTAGACAAGAGTTTGTGTTAAGAAATTAATATGCTATACCATTTAATAAAGGAGGCATCTTTTAGTCTGAGAATTTGGCAGTGCATTGAGGATAAATTAGGAAATTCAGCTTCACAAGAACAGGTTTCAGACATAGACATTACTACAAGTCCAAAAGGGAAAGGTGACAGACCTCCTCGTAATGACAGGTAACTGAGGCCCAGTAGGAAATACAGTTGAAAACATCGATCTCCTTAAAGGTACACTTCAAATTAACTTAGGAAATCTCTAAATGAGTACCTCTTATTTATGTATTCTCTTCCCTGTTTTCTTTGCTGTTCTTGCTGTTGATCTTAAATATTCATATATAAACATGAAATGTGTATTGTAATTTCCTTTAGAAAAATGCTTTGTCAGTGTTTTTATTTCTTCCTGCTCTCTTACATATATACCTTGGTGGCTTATATATATGTGGCAGCTGTTTTAATTTACATTAACAATGGCATTGAAACTTAATCTGCTTTCGTTTTTATTTTTGCTATTGCAGGCTCAAAAGTTAACAAGTTTTTGAAACTTGACCATCACTCAGTTACCTTTTCTCTCTGATGTTTGTGTCTTGGGATGAAGATAGTAATTTTAAGTTGTGGTCTTATTCTTATGGCCATTTATTAAAGAAAGAAAAAAAATAGAGAAAGCTGTTGGCTCTTCTGTCTTTGAGAATGAAATACTTTTATTGCATTATTGGTCTGGTTTATAATTTTTCTTCATGTTGAAAATCACATTTTTTTTTTCTTTTTAAGAAATATTTCTAATTATCTAATTGCTTTATTTGCTGATAATTTTTCTTCTTTTTCTCTCCAGTGTTTTAATTTTTTTTTAATTTGTTTCTTTTGATTTTCTAAAGGCACTTGGGAAAGTTTAAAGACAATCACTTTTGTAGTTCTTCTTAAAACAATTTGAGTAAAAATAATGTTGTTGTTATGTGCCGTGGAGTTGCACTTGACTCATAGTGGCCCCTCCTTGGATTTCCGAGGCATTATCACTACGGGAGTAGATTGCCTAAATACAGCATTTGTTAAAAGATCTTATACCTGTTTGGTAAGAGCAGATTTTTTTTTTAATAATTGTGTATGTTGTTGTTATGTGCCATCGAGTCAGACCCTACTCATCATGACCCCTCCTTGGGTTTCCAAGGCAGTATCACTGTGGAAGTATATTGTCCAACCTTCCTTCCGGGCTGGTGTATAGACAAGACTAATTTCATAGTTAGTACTACGTTTTATCTAGGATTGGTCTTTTTTCCTGTTATGTAGATACTTTATATTTTCTTTATGTAGCTGTTTAAAAATGACAAAACTTCTGAGTATTTTGGCAGCTTTTTATTCTTTCATCCTTCTGGGTTCCCACAAGAGTTTGATGATATAATTTGCAGTACTTAAGAGCTCTTACTGTAGAGTGTTATGCTAAAGTTGCCCCAGTTCAACAGAAGATTACGTAAATGATGCAAAAAGGGCAAGGAGGCCACATGTTCTGACCTCCTCTAATCCCACAAGAGGAAGACAGAATCACCATCAATAGCCCAAGGCCTATTCCTGCGAGGCCAGACATGCTGCCTCCCTCTAGTCCTTTCTCCAACTATTCCTTCCAAAGCACCCACCACCTCTCTCCTGGGTTCGATA